TCATGTGGCCGGCATGACTAAATGCCAAAGGCACACAGAATGCTATTACCTTCCCACCAACATTTTTTGGCATTTTTTATGCTTTTATGCTTTTGAACTGCTAGGACAGCTTCTGCTTGGCAGAAGCTGGGACATGTAACAGCAGCTCACTCCGTTATGCAGTACTAGGGATTCTAACCATTGAACTGCCAACCTTTCTGACTGACAAGCTCAGTGTCTTAGACACTGAGACACCACATCCCTTGAGTGCCATATGCATTGCAGAAATAAATGCATAAATTTGAATAGCATGAGCACACGTGCAGTTTTTTCAATAGCATTTATTCTATAGGTTTTGATATATGGTATAACCTTAGTTAACTATACAGTATAAGAATTCTTTGGTGATCCTTAATTTTATTGGCACCTTTAATATTGGCATAGACCTCTATAAAAGCAGATGGATAGATAGGCCATGGAATAAATGGAGGATAGTAAATGTACATAAATTTCAACAAAATAGCCTCGTTTCAGATATAAGAAATGCTGAAAAGGCATCAGAATGATTCCTCTGATCTTACTGGTAGAAATAATACTGACAGGAGCAAGAACACTATAAATACTGGGGAAGTAAAATGAAAGATTTCTTTTTGCAGCAGGAAAAATATCAACAGGGAAGGGAGATATAACACAGAGTCAACAAAGAAGATTATAAGATCACTCCAGAAAACAACAGGAGGGAGGATATAAAAATGGTTGAATAAGAAATCCCTTACTTGGGGAGATAAATGCAAGCATTATTAACACAAAAATCATTTAGCCAGGTTATCCTAAAATTTAAAGAAATAAGAAATTTGTTGTGTTTTGGTAGCCAGCCTTAAATTGATTTATTGGGCTGAGGAAGGAACCCAAGTGACATTTCAGTAGCTATAATTATTGACAGATGTTATTATTTGTGTGAAGCTAGATATTATCATTTTAAGCTGCTGGTCCTTATGTACTCTTAATATTATTCTGAAATGTTTATTCTTTTGCCATTTAACTGATTATCGGAATTCACCTTTGAAAGATTTTCCCCCTTAAAAGTAGCCTATCATTTAAAACCTATTTAAATAAATAAATAAAAGTCCTTTACAAACATTGAAAAGGGGGCTGCTTGCAGGATTACTCCTTTTTATAGTCTCCATAAAGAAAGAAAATCAGAAGGGAAGGTAATTGTGACAGGAAGAACTTAAAGCATTAGATTTCTTTGAGCCAAACTTCCTTTTAATGCAAATGGGAATGCATTGTTTGTACTTATTTAATCAGAAATGGATGATCTATTCCTGAAGGGCTTGTTGCAAGTATGTGATTCTTGCATGTCTCTTCATGAACCCACTACACAGGTAAATGAAGATCATGACATTTGGAGCTGATTTTATTTATATCACTTAGCACCAGTTTTCAAAAATCATTCCCCACAGTGACCATAATATCCATGGTCTTGATACCAAGGCAGTTCAAAGGCATATGTTTAAAATAGAATCTACCCCCCTGATTTGCAATACCCTGCTTGGGGATGTTGAATATCCTGTTTCCCCTCAATGGGACCTAAGGAAGAGTGTCTTTTCCACTCTGTCCATTGAAACATCATCCTCTCAAGACTTTAAGAGTTTCTTGACTCCCCAAATTTGCATCGTCACATTGTCACACATGATGTATCACAACTTTTTCCCCCTTTGCTAAAATAGGACTGGGCATGGCCAGTGTGTGACGAATCTGGTCTGTGGGACGTGAGTTTGACATCCTTGCTTTAAACAATATATGATTTTGAGGTGTGCCTATTTGATAGGCCAGTGATGGCAAACCTTTTCGGCACCAAGTGCCCAAACTGGAATACGTGTGAATGTACATGCATATCCATGTGCTGGAGCACTGGAAACCTGAAGATAATGGCCAGCGTGCACATGCCTGTTTTTTGCTTGGGTTTTTTGGCCATTTTCAGGCCAGTTTTCAGGCTGTTTTCAGGCACAAAAAATGACCTGAAAACGGTTCAAAAAAATGGTTAAAAAACAGGCCATTTTTAGGCTGTTTTCCAGAGCTCCGTTGCCCACAAACGCCAGCTGTTTTTCAGGCCATTTTTCAGGCTATTTTCAAGCCCCAAAATGCCCTGAAAACGCCACCAAAAATGCCCTGGTTTTTTTTGGCATTTTTCAGGATGTTTTCTGGTGCTCTGGTGCCCACGAAAACCAGCTGGCCAGAAACCAGAAGAGCAGATGGCAATGGCGTGCATGCCCACAGAGAGGGCTCTGTGTGCCACCTCTGGCACCCATGCCATAGGTTCACCATCACAGTGATAGGCAATGTCTGTTCCTAGTGGTGACTTTTATGTTACATTTGTTTTATTTTTAGGTATTTTATCTCTTTTTAATATGTACTCAGAATCAAGACAGGTGGCCATATAAACCTAAAAGTTAAGCATATATAAATAATAAATTAAATTAAATAAATTAGCTGAATTCTGGCAACATATCAACTGAAATTCCAATCAACCACAACTGTGGTTCTTGGATGCACAGTTAAACTGTCAGAGTTTAATATCTAATCCAACTAAATTCACAGGACCAATTTAGTAAGTTTGTTTGGGACCAATTTTGTATATGGTTTTACTAACAAAATATGATTCATTTGTTAATTGTTTTTTATTCTGCTGTTACTACTTTTAGAAAACTTACCAAGAGAGTAGTTTTTTAATTATTTTATCATATGATTAATTATTTTTAATTATATGTTTAAAAATTTTATTATATATATTTTCTACTACTCTTAGCCACTTGAAGCACTTTTGTAGGGATATTAATGTACAAATCTTATAAGAGGAAAGAGCAGGTGAAATGGCAAGCATTACTATTTTCTTTAAAAACCCATTTGCAACCATTTTTCAGGAAAGCCTACTATGGTATAGCCCCGGGATGGCGAACTTATGGCACACGTGCCACAGGTGGCACACGGAGCCATTTGTCAGCGCATGCAAGGTGTTGCACGCACTGGCAAGCTGATTTCAGCCTTTTTTAAAGCCATTTCCCCCTCCCTAGTCTCTAGAGGCTTTATAGGAGCCTGGGGAGGGTGAAAACAGCCTCCCCCCCGGAGGCCCTCCTGAAGCCTCTGGAGCACAAAAAACGGTCCTACAGGCAAACCTGAAGTTCGGGAATGGACGTCTGGTTTGCTTGTAGGGCCGGTTTAAGCCCCCCGGAGCCTTCAGGGGCCTTCTGGAGGCTTCCCTGAAGGCCCCGGAGGACAAAAAATGACCCTACGACCAAACCAGAAGTACCTCTGACTGGCACTACCCCCATCTATTCTCTGCCTCCCGAGTCCCAGCTGATTGGGAGGGAATGAGGATTTTGCAGTAACAGTCCCCTGCCATGCCCACCGAACGATGCCCACCGAGCCACACCCACAGAACTACCCACCAAGCCACGCCACAGAACCAGTAGTAAAAAAAATTGAATCCCACCACTGTCTACGACCCAGGCCACAGTTCAAATGGTAAGGAAGCCCTGAGGGAAACCAGGAGGTACTTCCAAAGACACTGAGGTTTTGTGATTGCATTTTGGGTGCCCACAAGTGTTGCACATTTACGGCTGTTTGCCGTGTCGCATGGTCAGGTAACACTGGCCATTTATGACATTTTTTGCTGGAACCTGGAATTTATTTCAGTTGTCTGGCAAAAAATGCCCCTTCTGGACAATGGGTTTTATAAACAACATAATTAATGCCCCTTCCACAAAAAGGTCATAAAATCAGGTGCTCTAATCTGATGACCCATTTAATGATGGGCACAATTTACAACATTATTCTGGATTCAATTAAGGTCATAAATCAAGGACTATTTGTGATTAATTTCCTTGTTATCTTGCAGTATTTTTGAGTGGCAGATGTCCGTAAAAAGAAAATTCTTTGCTTTGGAATATGTCTGCACCAGGAAGAGAAGCAAAAGCAAGCAAAGAAGGATGATCCCAGTCTTTAGAGATTCAGAATAAGTCAAAACCAGGAATTTGTAGCCAATCTCAATGATCTGAGGAGAGCCAAAGTACACAGCATGTTTAGAAAAAAACACTCAGGGCTCAGATCTCAAAGCTGCACAAACTGATATTCTATAGAAAAGAAACCATACAGGAATACATAGCAAGTGGATGGCTGTAAATAACCAGTTAATTTCTACTGTGGAGAATGTATGCTTTGGGCAATTTAAAACTACTGGAGTCTCATTACTGCCTTCTCTCCTGCAAATTTCTTGCTAAGAGTGTTATCCCAGATACCTATGAAAAGAAATGTACCAGCAAGTGAAAATTCTGATAAAAAACCATTACAATTCATTTCTGACATGTACACTTGAAGGTCACATGTCCCAATGACACCTTAAGGAAGAAAATCAGCCAAGGTTTCCAGAAAACTGTTCAATGAAAAGCAGCAAACACAGTGCGTGCGCACACATACACACACACACAGACACATAATATATATACATATATCCACAAAAACCTTAAGCAAACACAATCGCTGCGTGTAGGAATGGTGAGTATATTTAATTTTGATTCATGAATTCAGTTTAAACCTTGTAAGAACATAAGGTATTTAAATTAGTAGAAGGTAAATCACAGCAACAAAACTGCAGGGTTTAATATTAAGATAAGTGACATGCATGAAGTCATTGTATTAAAATATCGTTTTCTTACTGTTTGGCACAGATGGTGCTGGTAATTAATACTGTGTTTTTTGAAAACACAGGAAATTCCCTGGTTAGAAAAGATGTATACGCTATGTAATAACTAATTTTATTACATAGTAGGTATTCATGATTGAATTTAGGTTGAATTTAGGGCACAAAACAACTGGAAAATTAGAACGGTAACACTGCTGAAGTAAAATTGCCTTCTTTAAAGGGATAATACTTTTAACAAGATAAAAAGTTTCTAGCAGATATTCTAAGGCAGGGGTATCAAACTCATGATGACGCGTCATCACAGGATTTATTGCAACTCCCCCCCCTAAACTAAACCGGGGGGTGGGCATGGCCAGTGCATGATGCACCTGGCCTGAAGGCCATGAGTTTGACACCCCTTTTCTAAGGCATTAAAGTTCCCTATTTTTTCATTTGTTTTTTTTTCTTTTGGTTTGTTTGCTTTTTATTTATTTAGCATTTAAAAATAAACTGTACAGTTTAT